ACGAAACGGCACCTTTCACAAAGAATTTCAGAACAATCCACGTCTCACACTAGACACAGGCAATGGTAAAAATCACTTAAAAATCTCAGATTTACGCATTTCAGACTCAGCATCTTACTACTGTACAGGTATGCAAACATTTTAGAATTTGTGGATGGTGTTACTGTCAGTGTGAGGGGTTCAGGCTATATCATCCACGTAATCCATGACAAAGTGGAGTTGAGACCGGGAGGAGGAGTCGCAGTTTTATATGTTTCTCTGCGCTCTCTCCAATAAAATACCCAATATTAACGGTGTGTGTGTCTGCCCAAGGAAAATTTAAAGTAAAACCTAATAGAGGTGTCACACATAATAACTTAATAAAAGTAAATGTAACAACTACTACAGTGCAACAAAATAGGAAGATTAAATGTGGACTCTTAAACATAAGATCTCTAGCATCCAAAGCAATATTGGTAAATTATTTAATATCAGATTATAATAATTGATATATGCTGTCTCACTGAAACTTGGTTGAGACATGAAGAATATGTCAGCATAAATGAGGCCACTCCACAGGCACAGGCCGAGGAGGTGGAGTTGCAGCAATCTTTGACTCAAATGTACTTATCAATACTAAACCAAAATTAAATTATACCTCAAATAACAAATTGACTTGTTTTTAGTCTTACTAGTTTTTAGTCCGACCTGGAAAACTTTGCAGCCAATGTTATTTGTTACAGTGTACCGTGCACCAGGTCCTTATTCCGAATCTTTATCAGAATTTTCTGAGTTTTTATCAACTTTGGTACTTAAAACAGATAAAGTAATTATCGTAGGTGACTTTAATATTCATGTTGACGACGATAAAAATAGTCCTGGATCCGGAGTCCTGAGTCCTAGATCCTGTGTCCTGGATCCTGAGTCCTGGACTTCGAGTCGTGGCTGAACCATCACTGTGGTCCTGCCTGACTCTCATCATACTACTTCCCTGATGGCTCCCACAGGATTGTTGACATCCTTGTGGATTCATCTTCTTATTATAGACACATGCATTTCCAAACATTTGGTCTACCTGTGAGTGTGCTGTAAAATGTATTATCTCTTTGATTTACACACGGCATCTATTGCACGTCTGTCTGTCCTGGGAGAGGGATCCCTCCTCTGTTGCTCTCCCTGAGGTTTCTCCCATGTTCCCCTTTAAACTGTGGGGTTTTTCCTTCTTTGGAAGTGTTTCCTTGTACGATGTGAGGGTNCTTTAAATGAAATTGTTACAAATGAAAAAATATACATGCAATACAAATGTGCTTGCCACAGGCATAGCTCAGTTAAAATAAAGTACAGCTATTGTGCAATACATTTGTATTGCATGTATATTTTTTCATTTGTAACAATTTCATTTAAAGCTTAAAAGAATAAAGATATTTTTGTTATCTAAACGTTTGACCTCTTTCTTTTACAATTTTGGAATCGAAACGGGGAATCGATAAGAACCGGAATCGATAAGCAGAACCGGAATCGGAATCGATACATTTAAAACGATACCCATCCCCACAGCATATATCAATATTATAATCTGATATTAAATAATTTACCAATATTGCTTTGGATGCTAGAGATCTTATGTTTAAGAGTCCACATTTAATCTTCCTGTTTTGTTGCACTGTAGTAATCGTTACATGTACTTACTTGTCCCCACAGTAGCTGAATAACATGTGAAAAATGATCTATGTTTGCTTTAAATGAGAAGGTATGTGTAGTAGCTGGCATACTTTTTTCCCTATGCGTAAAAACTACATTGTGTTAGCAAATTGGAATTACTGATTCATTATTATAATGACTTTTTTTGGGAACGTCATCATTGGACTTTAAGTCAACCTACAGTATAGTCTCAAAGATATCCCAAAGTATAAAGTGGAATCTTATCCCAGCTGGAGCCAAACCAAGGACAAAAATAAAAACTGGATTGAGACACACAGCCATAATTACTCCAGATCACCACCACAAGCTTGTCGTATTGTGAAATTGGGATGAAAACTATCTTATATGCATTGTTTTCCAAATGTATTTAACCCCCTGCAGTACTTGATATATTTTAAGTTCTTTATATTTATCCATCTGAACAGAATACACAACGACAAACCTTAAAGTATCTTACGATCACAACGACATTTAGAAAATACAATTTAAAATCTGAGCTACTATTTTCTCTTCCTTAATTGTGTGGGATAGCAGCTGAACCAGAGTCAGGAAAAACCTCTGTGTTTGTTCTCGGCCAACACTGAGCAAGGCTGTCATTACGCTGTCATACGATGACCAACAGGATCGCTCTTTATCTACTAACAATGAATTAGGAGGCGTGTGGCGCAGTGGATAGAGCCTTGGTGGTGGGATCAGGGGGTCACAGGTTCAAAGCCCATTGCAGTCAGCATGTCGATGTGTCCCTGGGCAAGACACTTCGCCCCAAATTGCTCCTGTGGGGATTGTCCACGGTATTGGGTATGTAAGTCGCTTTGGATAAAAGCGTCTAACAAGAAACATGTAATGTAATACCATCTAGTTGTTATGTTCCCTTATGTGATGCCGCATTTTAAGCACAAGGAAATGCCTCTGCATTTTAGAGGTAATATATAAATAACATACTTACATTCCAGCACATTCCACTTTCAGTAACATTTCTGTGGTATTTCAGTCAAAGTACACAGTGCTGCAGAACCTTAAGAGTGTGGGAAAATGTTCTACAGGAATAAATAATACACCCAACCAACTCTACAAGTTAAACTATCACCAGCTACATGCAAGTACATGGGAGCTTTATTTATTCCACATGCATAACAGACCCATACACATACACAACTATTGAAGGCTGCTAGTTTGAAGAGGAGCACGCATGCAAGACAACAGCTACTTGGTTAAATTCTCTGATACCGCCCTCTTGTCCCTCCTTAGCGGTTCAGAATCAGGCCACGAGTGTGCTCTTACTGACTTTATTTCCTGGTGTGATGATGAAAGTCTTCTGGATTTAAATGTCTCTAAAACCCAGGAATTGATCATTGACTTTAGACGTCACAAGCATGTTCCTAAGGAGTGCATCATACACAATGACAAGGTTGAAATTGCCACATCATATAAATACTTGGGCACCATTTTCTATGACCACCTCAAATTTGATGTGAATACTGAGTGTATTGTGAAGCAGGGTCAACAGAGAATGCACCTTCTTCGCAAACTGAACTCTTTCTCTGTCGGGCCTTTCATTCTTTGTCGTTTTTACCAAGCATTCATTAAGAGCCTTATTTTTTTTTTTTTTATCTGCAGGTTCCATAGCCTTACACTGAAAGACAGGAACAGCCTAAACAACATTGTTAAAACCTGCTCTAAGGTCATCGGAGTGAAACTTAAACTCCTTTTGCAACCAACAGATTCTGCGGAAAGCAGAGAGCATTCTGGCCTCTCCAGGTCATGTTCTTGCAGATTAATTTAATCTGTTGCCATCAGGGCGTAGATATGCTCTACCTGCTCTTAAGACAAATCGTTCTTCAAAATTATTCATCCCCTCTGCACTCAGACTTTTAAATTCTTGAAAGGCTTTTTAACTTGATTATTTATTATTGTGATGCTATGAACTATTTGTTGTGTAAATTGGAATGATCCACATCTCTGCTCCCGGGTGTATCTGTTTGCTTTCTTCCTGTATGTTCCTGCCTGTACATAAGCTGCTCATGAAGTCATTAAAACTATTTTCCAGGGAAATATTCATCCACCCACATAACCAGGTTTATTTTCAATGGAAGCTCCTCATGTATTGATTTCTACCTTGGTCCCGCCTCCTTCCACCTTCCTAGATAAGTGCACTGCCACAATCTGTTGACAGGCTGTAGCTATCTGTCAACTGCCATCCTCATACTTAATTGTTTTCAAGCAAAAATCCACTGGTTAAAGTGTTTTCACTTTTGAGGATACAAAAGGGACTACAAAAAGGTACAATGCATTTCATATGACCACAAAGTTGGAAAACCAAAAAAAGGTTATCTGCAGAAGTAACTAGTTTGGGAATGCAAGGTCAAGGCCCAGCCTGCAATGTGTGTGATTAATGTTCTCTCTCTTCAAACAGAAAGACAGGATCAACACGTCTGATTTAAGCATTGGAGGAGATGTTGCAATCATTTTGTTATGAGCCTTGGCCTTGTTGAACCTGCAGGGAGGTGTATTTAATTCTCAGTCATTGGGTGTGTGTAACTGTCACCCAGAAGCTGCCATTCAGTAGTTCTGGTTTCTCTTGAGGCAGGCTGGGACAGGCCTCAAACTGCGTGATAGCTTAATAAAAAAAAAAATCCTAAAGCACTGCCAAGCCCATTACTTCAACAACATGAGCTGACCACCAAATAAAAACATACAAGTAATGCACATTTTGAATAACTAAACAAAATGGTATAACCCTAACCTTATCCTTATACCGCATCTTCTTTTTGTTTTAAAAGGAAAAACTACCACGAAGTAGCGTGCAAGTCATATAGTGAATCTGACATTGATAAAAAAATAAAAATAAAGACATCTATGCCAACAGCTATTTATTCCTTCTAAAAGTAGTGTCAAATAATGATGTTAGAATAAAACACAACCTGCTTTCTTCCATTCTCCCATATCTTTTTCGAAATCATGGTGGATGAAATACTGTTGTTTTCCTTTCTTGGTGCCGTGAGAGAAACAAGCTGCTGCAGGGGCTAAATACTTCTACAGCAGGAGGTTACACAAACACTTCCAGGGAAGAGATAACTAACATTATGAGAAAGAAGCAAGACTGTTTGAGCCTGCTTATTCAACATCTCCACGTTTTATTCCAAATCACCAAGTACATTTTCATTTTTATCTAGATCCTGGTGACCGATGCAAATAAATTGATAAATGCAATGATAGAAAAAGAGGATACTAAAAATACACAAAAATGTCTTGACAATAATTCATGTGGTACGAGATTGCATTTGCGTTCCTTACGATGATTTTGGAGCAGCAGGAGTAAGAGATGTGTTTTCTTTTTATTCTGGCTCCTAAAGTGGTTTCACATACGGTTATCAAAAATGAGGGCCGAACTCCTAAGCAGACATGAACCTACATGGAGGAACTTTCAAGTCCCGTCCATTCAGTTTTCTTTTTAAATACATAATAACTGGTTCCAATTTGCATTTTTTACAGAAATGTATCGGGTAGAGGCGTGGTGCTGCTAATGTTTTACAACGTGAATAAAGTAGAGCCGCACAAATGCAGCAACTACTTCTGCAGCCAAAAAAGAAACTAAACAGAATCACTCTTGAGTTTTCTACTCTTGGCAGGAGTTTTTTTAAAGTATTTCAGTGTGTTCCTGGCTCTAAAAACATCACCTCCAGATGAAATTCAGAGGCATAGCTCAACATAAATACAGCTGTGTGTAGTCTGTGTACTACACACAGTACTCTTCTGTGCCTGAACCACAAAGGTCAGCGCTTGAAAAAGTCCTGTATGTTTAAAGGGTCACAGATCCTTCAGAAAAAGTATCTTTGTATATCCTACCACCATCTAACACCTGGAAAAAAACTTGCACTGATGGTAAGTGGTAAAACAGCAACAGATTCTGGGAAATCTTACCAAGAAAACTGATAGCTACAAATGCACATAAATCAATACCTCTCTGCTGGGCTCTGGCACTTGTCCTTGCAGCCCTTATAAACATGGCCGCAATCTACGAAAACCACAAGGAGGTTTCTGATACTTAAATACAAACAAAACCACAATCTCTTTGCCTGCAGTACTCCTTTTATAGGAAAGAACAGATTCACCTTGAGAAAATGGCCCTTCTCCACACTGGACTTTGCCACTGTTCTGTTTTTGCAGGGCAAGGCAGCCACTTCGGAGTATGCCATGGAAAATGTCCAAGTATACTCACACTCAAAATATACAGCGCAGGAGTGATCAAACAGTGAGGCAATCATTTCTTGGAAACACACATTTTTTCACTGAAAGTTGCGTTATTTGTCTCCACAGTACTTTAAAAACTCAGTCAGGACACCGCCCCTCGTTTTCTGTATTATCAATGATTATTTGTTTTGCAAGTAAGAAAATGTTCTGGCATGTGAAAAATGATGAACTGTGTGGGTTGGCAGGCGCATGAAGAAAAACAAAATGCTACTACTTTCTTTTTCTCAATTGTGTGAGGAGGCGGCTGAAATGGAGTCAAGAAAAACCTCTGTGTCTGTTCTGGGCCTTCACTGAGCCACGCTGTCATTACGCTGTAATACGATGACCATCAGGACCAAAGACTTAAGCACACAGGGCCTGTAGTGTGGGGACATTTTGAAACATGAGCTAAAGTTGGTGCAAATTATGTTTGACCTCCAAATGGGACCAGAGGAAGCCGGATGCAAGTGAGAGAATAAGTGAAACCCAGAGTGATTTAACAGATGAGTGTCTGTGTGTGAAATGTCGGTGCTCTGACCTCAGTGGAGAACATTCAGTCCTGTGTGTGTAGCTTTTGGACGTCAACCAAACACTGTTTCCTTCCTTCCGTTTCCCTGTAAACTCTGATGAATGTAAATGTAAATCTCAGAAGCAACAGGAAGTGAGTAGAAAAGTATCTTGAGAAACACACTAATTGCTTTTATATATTTCTTGATAATTATCTTTAGGAAATGAAAGACACACACTAGACTCTATGCCAGTCCAACCCTGAGAGAAGTATACACACTATTTTGATATTATTTTGTTACTGGTAATAAAGGAAACACTCGAACAGGGCGGCTTTTCTCCAGCCAGGTACTAGGAGGTGCCTTGTTATCATAATTTGATGTGGTGACTAATGTTCAGTGTTTCTTGTAGTGAGTGAGTGACACTGCGAGGACGGTAGGAAAACTCAGCACCTAATTTTAAAATCCCCCGTGATATTGGACAACAGCATTATTACACGCATTAGTATGTACTCTAAATTCTATATGCAGCCATTTACTGAGCATGGTTTATTACATATAGTGATAACTTTCCCTACAATTTTCACAGTGAGAAAAACAACTCTTCTTCTGTGCATGTAGACCATATTTGAGCAACACACTATATTTCTTCATAATTTGTATAGTGTATAAACTTCACGGTTCTTATCATTTAAAAACCAAGAGAGAGAACAAATAGCCTATGATCCATACTGTTACAAATTGGATTGTTATCAATACATAAGAAAATTAACAAAAATGGTTAGATATTATGATTTGCTTTAACCTGTGAACAAAACTACCATGATGATAACTGCACATTACTGTACTGTCATATGCAACCTTTAGGGTCCCAAACACAAACACATAGGTGCATGCTTCAAACACTTTAAACTTTTTAAACAGTAAGTGTTCATGTGTAATAGCTATTTTGGGATTGGATTGTGCTCCTCCCGAAAAAGTGTTTATCCCGAACTGCATCATCACAGCACACTATTAGCATTAGCAACTGGGCAGCAACATGGGTACCTTTCTCATGTACTACCATAAACAACGAACAGACGGTGATTACACTGAGACATTTAGTTAGCAATCATTTCATAACAACATTTTACCAGGGGACACAGAGTATAAATTTAATTAAATGTCATTTTGAAGCCATTTAGCCGCCAGCACCGCACACATTACAACACAACCCACAAGCAGAAGAGGCCACTAATGTTCGTTAAAACAACGATATCTACAGTACCAGTAAACTGTTATACATTTAGAAATAACACCAAAATTACCTTTTATGTAGAACGCTATTACTTTCGGTGTTTTAATATGTATCGGTTTAAGTAATCCAATAATCCAGTTTCTTCAATAAAACCTGCCCCGTGCTGTGTACTTGGACCAATCCCTATGGATCCAGAGAAGGTTGGGATTACTGGAATGGAGCGAACCATGCGTTTGATTGACACGTGCACAGACCAATAGGCTTCCACTTAACTGTTTTTCACAGGGGAGAGGGCGTTTTTCTGCTGCATTAAAGTTACACAGGAAAAACGGATATACTGTTTTATACTACTACGGAGTCTTTGGTTTGATAGAGTCTATGGTTGTATACAGTCTATGGCATTTATGTGGAGTTACTCGACCACGTGGCATGGTGGGTGAATAATAGAATACAAATATAATTACAAAATTTAAATAGAAAAATAAATAAAAGGCTGGCCAGCAGGGAAGCTCCACTGATGGGAGCGCTCTCTGGGAAGTGGACATTTGCATTTCCATCTTGTCATGCCTTTATGACATTTTGCCTGTCAAATACTGGGAATCAAATCACTGACCTTAAGATTAGTAGACATTCATTTACTCCTTGCGTCAAAGCCTGAGTTTAGCTGATTTTGGAAGCTAAGCAGTATATTACCATATATATAAAGGCAGGGGCGGACTGGGACTACAAATCAGCCCGGGACTCTCGACTGGCCCACTTCGGTACCGCCGGCCCACCGCGGTACCGCAAGTAAATACCGCTAGTAACATTAAGGGTAAAATGCCACTGGCCCTCTGGAACAACACATTTGTTGCGATAGTAATGTATGCACTAACTACATTACTACTTGAATCATCAGTTCTTCCTCATTTCCCTCAATTGTTCATATTTGGTTTATTAAAATAATGATATTGTGGTCATTGTTAAAAAATGTCTGCTATTATTATGAGTATTATTATTTGTATAAAGCGCTTTCTGCCTTCCTTTCATTAGGAGTTAGAAATGTAATGGCTATGTAATAGATTAGATTAGAACCGTCATTATCCTAA